ATGGACTCTTTGTCACTGATAAGTGATGAATTGTGATTCAGTTGGATGGGGGATTTGGGGTATCTTTTTATACTAAGTCCCCTGCTTTAGACTGAAAATAACAAGTATGTTATTTGGATACATTTCTAGAGTAAACAGACGGGGTCAGGGGCAATGCAGATCTCTGTCCCTGCTGTCAGCAACTAAGTCAGCCTAAAAATAATCTTCGTGTGCAAACTGTTATTTATGTCAGAACATAACTCCTCTACATATGAAGTGCCATCCCTAGGAATGCCTTCAGAATCCCCAGGTGCCATGGTAACAGGCACTGCGTAACATGTGCAATAGGCTTTTAATTGCAACAAAAAAAGTACAATTCAGGAAGTTCCATATATTGTATTTTATGGTGGAAACTTGTAATAATCTTGGTCGTCTTAGCATGAATGCCAGGTTATTTTTGGCATGAATCTTATTAGAAATAACCATATTGATTTAATACGAATGCTGCATGGAAAAAATATATTAAGAGATAACCAAAGTCAGTTATCATTTGTCTATATAATTTTGTTTCCCTATTAATATTTTGTAAAAAATATAAATGAGTTTAGATGAGTTACTTTTTTACACTATCCTTTATGTTAGATAAAAGGGAATCTAATTCTTTTTTTAAATTTATTTATTTATTAAAGATTTCTGTCTCTTCCCCACCGCCGCCTCCCCTTTCCCTCCCCCTCCCCCAATCAAGTCCCCCTCCCTCGTCAGCCCAAAGAGCAATCAGGGTTCCCTGCCCTGTGGGAAGTCCAAGGGCCACCCACCTCCGTCCAGGTCTAGTAAGGTGAGCATCCACGAAACTGCCTAGGCTCCCACGAAACCAATAGGTACAGTAGGATCAAAAACCCATTGCCATTGTTCTTGAGGTCTCAGTAGTCCTCATTGTCCACTATGTTCAGCGAGACCGGTTTTAACCCGGGCTTTTTCAGACCCAGGCCAGCTGGCCTTGGTGAGTTCCCAATAGAACATCCCCCTTGTCTCAGTGTATGGGTGCACCCCTCGCGGTCCTGAGTTCCTTGCTTGTGCTCTCTTTCCTTCTGCTCCTATTTGGACCTTAAGATTTCAGTCCGGTGCTCCATTGTGGGTCTCTGTCTCTGTCTCCTTAGGAGGAAGCCTATATGATTTTCTTTGGGTTCTCCTTCTTATTTAGCTTCTCTAGGATCGCGAATTATAGGCTCAATGTCCTTTATTTATGGCTAGAAACCAAATATGAGTGAGTACATCCCATGTTCCTCTTTTTGGGTCTGGCTTACCTCACTCAGGATGGTGTTTTCTATTTCCATCCATTTGCCTGCAAACTTCAAGAAGTCCTTGTTTTTTACTGCTGAGTAGTACTCTAATATGTATATATTCCCTACTTTCTTCATCCATTCTTCAATTGAAGGGCATCTAGGTTGTTTCCAGGTTCTGGCTATTACAAACAATGCTGCTATGAACATAGTAGAGCATATACTTTTGTTGTGTGATAAGGCCTCTCTTGGGTATATTCCCAAGAGTGGTATTGCTGGGTCCATGGGTAGGTTGATCCTGAATTTCCTGAGAAACCTCCACACTGCTTTCCAGAGTGGTTGCACAAGTTTGCATTCCCACCAGCAATGGATGAGTGTACCCCTTTCTCCACAACCTCTCCAGCAAAGGCTATCATTGGTGTTTTTGATTTTCGCCATTCTGACAGGTGTAAGATGGTATCTTAAAGTCTAATTCTTTTTAAAAGATGATCTTTTCTATGGGACAGATGCTCAGCTGCCTGAATGTATCAACCTTTATTTTTCATTTTCATTTATTATCAAAATCAATATGCTATTTGGAAACTGCCAAATTGTTTCTAGATATCTAAGCGACTACAATTTGGGGAGTAATATAAAGTGAGTCCCATTAGGAAGTTTGCTTGAACCAGATGGTATGGATGGGAGCCCTCAGCGGAAGTGACTTTTGTGCGTAGTGAAGTGGTTGGAAACTGGCCATACATTCACTTGGTTTGATCTCAGCTGTGCAGAGATAATGGAGAAATTAGAGAAATGATTCCTTTTACTGTTTTCGGGACTAATACTCTGTGTTCTAAAATCTTATTAATTTATATATGGCAAAATAGCATCCAGTGGAAGCTTTTTAAAGAAGCTTTGAAAGTGTGTGAATTTATTTAACCAGAAAACAAGTAAAGAAAAAATAAAATAATGGATATAATGACCAAGGAAGTTTTGAGGAAGATTATAGGAAGACTTTTGGAACCACTTAAGTTCCAAGTCTGTTTACTTTCTAATTCTGTTTCTTCTTGAGGCCACCTAATGTCTGTTGTACCCAGTCATGCAGTGAATAGTTCATAAATGAGTAATGAACAACATTTGATTGATTCTTACTAGCCCACATTATGTCTGTGGTGAAGGTTATTGTTTCTTATTTGTCTCTTGAGACTTAGAATTAAACTCAGGGTCTCCCAAATGCCGGGCAATTACCCTACATTGGGCCATGGCCCGCTGTTGATTTTTGTGCGAGCTCTTCTTTTATAGCCCATTGTACTCCCAGTCTTCCTACCTCAGTCTCCCAGTACTAAGCTCCAGGTATGTCCCATCTTGCACTGCACTATGTGGTCCACATTGTCATCCATCTTCCTCTCAGAGGAAGTTGTGTTAACTTCAGAGAAAATTGACCCAAATCATCTCAGTCAGATTAACCTTGACCTGAGAAATAATGTTTATAGTTGAATTAAGAGCTACAGAGTAGTATCAAAGACAAGGTTTGCTTATTTTATCATTCAGTCTTCACTAATTTTATATTGAATGCATAAATAAGGTACTCTGAGTTGTATTTCTTACTATACAATTGCTCTGGTTTTAAACCTCAGCCCATTGCTGAGAACCAGGTCAGCTGCCTACTGCTAGTAACTGGCACACCATGGGTAAAGAAAAGAAAATATGCTTTTATTTCTCTGCCCATTAAGTAAAAATGTCAGCTGTGTCCCTTGCCTCTGGTAAAGGCCTCCTTGGAAATAATGTAGACCTGCCCCTAACCCTTTGGATTCTGAGTTGAATATTTCCAGAGCCAGAAGAAGACCGCAGAGGTCTTTGCTATTACGATTTATACTGATCTCCCAGGCCTGGGACTTTCTGTCTTTCCAAATGCAATACCTATAGAGGTAAGACAGTGTCCTTATTTCTTTGAATCATATAACTAATTAAACAAACGTGTACTGATATAATTCTCCTGTTACATGAATAGTAGAGTATTTTTATACGAACTGAAAATACACATCTCCTTTACTATGCATTCCTCACCTGTGAGAGACTCCTATCTCATTCTGCTAGAACACTGAAAAATCCAGGGTTATTTTCCCCTCCATAGTTAGGGGTATCCAGTGGGGTAGAGAAATTCTTCCAAGTTATGTAAGTACTTTATACAAAGTAAATGATGACTTTCAAAGATTAGAGTTAAATGAATTTTTTAAAATGAGTTGAAAACATAACAGGAAAATGTATTAAAGTAATTTCAATATCACAATAAATTCCATATTTGGGAATTTATGCTCTTCCTGTGTAAAACCTGGGGTTCTTTTATAAAGTATATTGATTGAGTAGTTGATTTTTTTGGGGGGGGGCAAACATGCCATGGTATTTCTCCTCTTCTACCACATGTGTTCTAGATGGAAATCATATTCTGAAAAGCACTTCCTTCCCTCCTTCCTTCCTCCCTTCCTTCCCTCCTTCCTTCCCTCCTTCCTTCCCTCCCTCCTTCCCTCCTTCCTTCCTTCCCTCCTTCCGTCCGTCCTTCCTTCCTTCCCTCCCTCCTTCCCTCCCTCCCTCCCTCCCTCCTTCCCTCCCTCCCTCCTTCCTTCCCTCCCTCCCTCCCTCCCTCCCTCCCTCCCTCCCTCCCTCCCTTCTTTCTTTCTTTCTTTCTTTCTTTTCT